GATGGGCAGGTCAGTGGGAAGCTCGGGTTGCAGCCCTGGGCACAGCTGGAACAACTAGAGAGAAACCCAGGAAGAGAAGAACCAAAAAAGAGCAGGAGCCCAAAGCCACATGTTTAGAGGAAGAAGATCAGCCCTCTCTATACTGTTAGCAGCTTGAGCAAGATGGGCTGAGAACTGGCCATTGGATTCACCACACAGAGATCAGTGATGACTGATAAAGTGTCAGTGGGGTGCAAGGAGGAGAGTCTGAATAGAAAGTTTGAGAGAACTTGAAGTTATTGGGGAGTCAGAATGAGGGAAAATTCTTGTGAATTTTCTGTGAAGGGGAAGAGAAAAATGGGAGGGAGGTCACTGGAGGGAGATGACATGGGGATAGGGAGAGTGTTTCGTTTTGTTGTTGTTGTTTTTTGAGATGGAATCTCCCAGGCTGGAGTGCAGTGGCGCAATCCTGGCTCACTGCAGCCTCCGCCTCCCAGGTTCAAGTGATTCTCCTGCCTCAGCCTCCTGAGTTGCTGGGATTACAGGCACACACCACCATGCCCAGCTAATTTTTATATTTTAGTGGAGACAGGGTTTTGTCACGTTGGCCAGGCTGGTCTCGAACTCCTGACCTCATGCAATCCATCTGCCTCAGCCTCCCAAAGTGCTGGGATTACAGGCATGAGCCACCATGCCTGGCAAGGAGGAATGTTTTGAAGACAGGGGATGTTGGCCAGGTGCAGCCTGGCCTCACACCTATAATCTCGGCACTTTGGGATGCTGAAGTGGGAGGATCACTTGAGTCCCTGAGTTCAAGATCAGCCTGGGCAACATAGTGAGACCTATGTGTAGCCTGATGGACCACAATAAAAAATAAAATCAGGGTCGGGCATGGTGGCTCATGCCTGTAATCCTAGCACCTTGGGAGGCCAAGGCAGGCAGATGACGAGATCAAGAGATCGAGACCATCCTGGCCATTTTAGTTGAGTGAAACCCCATCTCTACTAAAATACAAAAATTAGCTGGGTATGGTGGCGCGCACCTGTAGTCCCAGCTACTCAGGAGGCTGAGGCAGGAGAATTGCTTGAATCCGGGAGGCGGAGGTTGCAGTGAGCCGAGATCATGCCACTGCACTCCAGCCTGGTGCTTGGCATCTGGCGATGCAGCGAGACTCTGTCTCAAAATAAAATAAAATAAAATTAGCTGGGCATGGTGATATGCACCTGTAATTCCAGCTACTTTGGAGGCTGAAGTGAGAAAATTACATGAGCCCAGGAGGTTAAGGCTACAGTGAGCCATGACTGTGCCATTGCACTCTGGCCTGGGCAACAAAGCAAGACCTTGTCTCAAAAAAAAAAAAAAAAAAAAAGGTAGGGATGGTGGTGCATGTTCTGGCCAGAGGGAATGATCCAGCAAGCACAGAGAGATGGATGATGTGTTGGAGATAGCGGGCTACCACAGGAGTCAAGTGGATGGGGCAGCAGGGGAGAGTCCCGGTTCATGCCTACATGAACAGGACCTAGGCCACCCATTCTGGTAGGGACAGGTGAGATGTGGGTACTGAGGGGAAAGATGGCTTTCTGCAAGATTACTTCTGTTTTCTCTATGAAGCACAAGGCCAGGTAGTTTAGGTTTGGAAGACAGACAGCGTGGGTATTTTTGCTGCTCTAAGGGAGAGTAACAGCAGAGAAAAGCAGTGGGAGGCCCAGGCAGTGCTGCGTATCCATTTGAGGTCCGTGATGGTGAATGACATTCAGGCCTGCACATGGCTCTGCATTTGTCTACAGCTTAGACACTGGCGTTTGATGTGCAGGCACCTCCGTATGAAACCCAGGGCTGGGACTTAGCAAGGTGTGCTGGTCCTCTAATGAAGGTATTACTCCTCTAATGAAAGGTAAAAAAAGAAATGAGGAATGTGGAGGGAAGCAGACAAAGTGCTAGGTCAGGTCAGTGGATTGGGGGGTCTCTGTGAGAACAAGCTGTCAAGTCATAAGGGTTGGCCGGGCATGGTGGCTCACGCCTGTAATCCCAGCACTGTGGGAGGTCAAGGTGGGCAGATCACTTGAGGTCTGAAGTTTGAGACCCGCCTGGCCAACATGGCGAAACCCCATGTTCTTTTACTAAAAAAGAAATACAAAAAGTAGTTGAGCATGGTGGCACATGCCTGTAATCCCAGATACTTGTGAGGCTGAGGCAGGAGAATCACTTGAACTTGGGAGGCGGATGTTGCCGTGAGCCACTGCACTCCAGCCTGGGTGATAACATGAGACCCTGTCTCAAAAAAAAAAATTACACGGGCTGTTGGAACTGGTTCAGCCAGAGGTGCTGGGAGTATAGGTTGGAGGAGAGGCTGTTGGAGATGGATTCGGAGCATATGTAGGAGGTAGGATGGCCAGGTCTTGGACATGGCTTGGATATGAGGTATGTGGGAGACAGGAAGCAAAGAGGATACCATGTTTCAGGCCTGTGCTTTTGGGTGGACAACAGTGCTCTTTCTGAAGGTAAGAACATGAGAAAACCTTCAGCTCTGGGAGGATGGGAAAGATCATGAGTTCGATGGTGGGTATGTGGATTTGGGTCTGTGAGATGTGCAGATGATAAGCGGGCAGTTGGATATTTCTGTCTGGAGCTCACAGGGGAGTTCTAGGTGAGAGGTATGTGAGTGAAGGTATGCTATTTGAAGCTGTGAATGTGCATGAGATCTCTCAGGGCAAGAGAGGATAGGGTGAGCAGCAGAGGGCCGCTGACTGACAGACAGAAGCACCTTGGGGGACCAGCTTTAAAGGATGGGCAGGACTTCCCTGGGCAGCCCACATACTTGGGACTGTCTGTGGTTGGGATGATTCATTCATTCACTTATTCAGAAACTACTGAAGACCAATTCTGTGCCAGATACATTCTGGGTGCTAGAGATGCAGCCCTGATGTTCAGGTCCACAGCCCTGGGGTCTGTGGGGCAGTGGGGTCCTGCCCTTGTCCAGTGGTGGTCACAGTACCTCCCTGGGGTCCCTGAGCTGGCCTGCTCTTCCCACAGCTGCGCATGGAGTACCTCTCCTTGATGCATGCCGTAGTTCGCACCACGCCCTACCTGCAGCACCGCCACCGGCTGCCCGACCTGCAGGCCATACTGCGACGCATCCTGAATGAGGAGGAGACCTCACCCCAGTGCCAGATGGACCGTATGATTGTCCAAGAGATGTGCAAGGAATTCCCGGTGCTGGGGGAGGCTCCCAGCTAGCACCTTGCTGTCCTCCCTTCCCTGCAGCTCCAGTTAGGGTGCGGGGGACTCAGAGGCTTGGCCCTAAGAATGTTTTGCACTGACAGTGGGAGGGGATAGGTGGCAGAAGGAACCTGAACAGGGCCCCCCACCTGAAGTAGAGCTTATGAGAGGGGCCAAGTGTTGGATTGGGGACCATGGTCTGGGAGCTGTTCTGGGGCAGGGGGAATATGCAGGCTAAAGCCCCTCTATACCCTGGTAGGCTTCCTGTTCAGCATGCTCTCCTCTTCACCCCACACCCACGTGTACACTCAGAGTCCTGCTGCTGCTCCAGGCTGGGCCAGACCCCGCCCCACCCCTCCTGGTCTGTATCCTGGGCCTCAGCAAGCCATGCCCCCGGGGTGAGGGGAGGCATCTCCCACCAGCTCTATTCTTTGCCTTAGCTTTGCAGTGAGTGCTGCTCATGTGCTCCCCTCCACCCCCACATGGGGGTTGCTGCCCTTCGCTCCTACCCCCAGAGGCCTTGGCCAAGCTGCTGCTTTGAAAGCGGGATCCTGGAGACAGGCCATCCATCCTGGAGCCTCATGGAACAGAATGATGGCACTGAGAAAGCCAATGACTGAATCTCTTTTCTCTGTAAAAATGTAGACTGAAAAGCCATGTGTATTTTCCTACATGCTGCAGCTCTCCTTTGGAAATAAATCACAGGCATCTGGAAACAGGCTTCCCTATATGATCTTGGGAGACAGTGGGAGAGGCTGGGCAGAAGTACTGGCCTCAGGACCCCATCACTACAGGTTACACTGACTTCTCCAGCCTGAGGAGGTGATGGACCCTGACAGGCCTGGCCTTCAAGGCCCTCTGAGCCCTGTTCCAGCCTCTCTTCCCTGAGCTCCCACTTCTCCTGAGCCCCAGCCATGGCCAAGTGCCCCCCAGCAGCCCACTTGCAGGTGTCTGCACCTCTAGGCTTTACTTACATCTTTCTTTCTCTCTCTCTTTTTTTTTTTTAATTTTTTGAGACAGGGTCCCACTCTTACTCAGGCTCACTGTAGCCTCAACCTCCCAGGCTCAAGTGATCCTCCTGCCTCAGCCTCCCAAGTACCTGAAACAACAGTAGCCACCATGAGCAGCTAATTTTTAAAATTTTATGGTAGAGACAGGGTCTCACCATGTTGTCCAGGCTGGTCTTGAACACCTCAGTTCCAGTGATCCTCCTGTCTCGGCCCCCCAAAGTACTGGGATTCTAGGTGTGACCCACCGCAACAGCCCACTTACATCTTTCGCTTTGCTTTGAATACCGGTACTCTCTCACCTGTGGAAACCCTATCGTCCTTCATAGTTGTTCTCAAATGAAGCAGGCCCTACCTACCCCCAGTCCTGGCCTCTGTGAATGGTTGGGCCTATCCAGCCCTATTTCCTTTCCCCATTTGTCCTTGTTTCTAGCAAAATCACCTTATCTTGCAACCTCAGCAGAGATTTGGTAATCATGGTAGAGCAGAAAGTGTCTTAACAAGCATGGGGTTAGGTTTGCATTACTGTTTTAGAGGAACTAAGAGCCAAAATTTGGCAAAAACTTCATTATTGTGGGCTCCCAAGTTAGCAAAAAAGTTCTCACCATAAGTCAGGGAGTAAAGTCAAAAACCTACAGGCAAACACCAGTCAGAAGTGTTTTTGTTTTTGTTTTTTAGATGGAGTCTCTAACTTCAAGGCTGATGTCCAACTCGTGGGCTCGAGCAGTCCTCCCACTTCAGCTTTCCAAGTAGCTGGGACTACAGGCGCACACCACTGTGCCATGCACGGAAGTGGTTTTCATCAGTTCACTTTATTTTTTACTTGAACTCCTCATTCATCAGACAGTTCCACACATCAGGAATCACTGACACTGTGACTTCTGGTCATGACGTTTTCTTCTCATTGGAGTGCTGAAAGCAGGGGGCAGTTATCCTCCCAAAAAGAAGGTAAAGCAGCACAGGGAGGCTAGGGCCAGGGCTTTGCCCCCACCCTGCCCAGCAACAGGCTCTCAGGAAGTTGAGGCAGGAATATTCGTTCCACAGGAGACCCGTGGGAGCAAAAATGGGGGCCTAGTGGGAGACACCTGCTCACCACTGACTGTCAGAAGGCCAGGTGCACAGGCTTTCTTGGGCCTGAGAAGCGGCTGACAGTGTTTGGCCCCCAGTAAAGCTCTGTGGGACATAACCTGGTTACTAATTATTACTATTTTTTGAGAGACAGAGTTTAGTTCTTGTCACCCAGGCTGGAGTGAAATGGCACGATCTTGGCCCACTGCAGTCTCTGCCTCCCAGGTTCAAGCAATGATTCTCCTGCCTCAGCCTCCTGAGTAGCTGGGATTATAGGCACCTGCCACCATACCCAGCTAATTTTTGTATTTTTAGTAGAGACGGAGTTTCACCATGTTGATCAGGCTGGTCTTGAACTCCTGATCTCAGACGATCTACCCGTCTCTGCCTCCCAAAGTGCTGGGATTACAGGTGTGAGCCACTGTGCCCAGCCCTTTTTTTTTTTTTTGAGACACAGTCGCTCTCTGTCACCCAGGCTGGAGTGCAGTGGTATGATCTTGGCTCACTACAACCCCTGCCTCCTGGGTTAAAGCAATTCTTCCTGCTTCAGCCTCCCCAGTAGCTGGAATTACAAGCGCCTGCCACCACACCCAGCTAATTCCTGTATTTTTAGTAGAGATGGGGTTTCACCACGTTGGCCAGGCTGGTCTCGGACTGGCACCTCACCTCAGGTGACCCACTCACCTCAGCCTCCCAAAGTGCTAGGATTACAGACATGAGCCCCCACACCTGGCCTGGTTACTAGTCAACCCTGGTTTCACATCCAGAGTGGATGAAACCGCCTTCCAGTCACAGCTCCTTTTTCACTGGAGTGCCGAAGGCAGGAAAGTCTTCTCATGAGATAGTGTATTTCAGTGAAAAGTACAAGTTCTCAGGAAGCTGAGGCAGGGACATTGGACAGCCTCTGTGACTTGCTGTGTTTCCTGTCATGACGCACACACAAACCTTGTGGGAACAGCAGGCTGTGCTATGCCGTCTGTCCCAGTGCTGGCATCTATGTCAAACAAGGTGTGGCTCCATGGCAGAGGCATCTGCCCACTTCTGCAGGAGTGTCCAAGGTGGGCCCTGGCACCTGTTTGTAAGAGATGCAGAAGCCCCAGCTGATGAAGTTACATAAATGCTGACTCCTGGTAGCAAGCATGCTCTGAGGGACTCAGGATCTCTTTAGCAAACACCCCTGTGGTGGCCTCACAACACAAAATTACAACCAAAGGCAGACTATGATTAGCCAGAGAAGTCCTCTTGGGGAGGGAACTGTCTGGTGGGACACGTCTATGGCTGCATGAAAGGTTGGTAGATGTGATATGTGGCTAGGCAGTAGAAAGGGCAATGAGAGAGCATTAAGTCACCTCAAGAAAGAGAAGTGTTTGGGTAGAGTTGAGAACTCAAATTTTGGGGGACAGTGAGGGGGTTTGGGCTGAGTTCTGGGTCAGAAATTTTTGAAGCCGCAGCTAGGAATGGGTGTGTAAGTGTGTGGGTCGCTCATACCTACAATCCCAGCACTTTGGGAGGCCATGGCGGGAAGGTTGCTTGAGTTTGAGACCAACCTGGCCAGCATAGAAAACTTCATCCCTACGAAAAATCCAAAAATTAGCTGGGTGTGGTTGCCTGTACCTATAGTCCCAGCTACTTGGGAGGCTGAGTTGGAAGAATCATCTATGCGCATGTGCTGAGCCATAAGCTGTGCATGCATAAGGCCAACTCCAGGATGAGGGGTTGAGTAATTGTTCCTGAGCCTTCCGAGTAGCTGGGATTACAGGCATGTACCACCACACCCAGCTGGTTTTTGTATATTTAGTAGAAATGGGGTTTTGCCATGTTGGCCAGGCTGGTCTCAAACTCCTGACCTCAGGTGATCCACCAGCCTTGGCCTCCCAAAGTGCTGGGATTACAGCCATGAGCCACTGCTCCTGGCCTATCCATCCACTGTTGATGATCTTTCAGTTGTTTCCAGTTTTTGTCTATTGCAAATAGTGCTGCAAGGAGCACTGTTGTACATGCCTTCTTGTTGCTCATACACATTATTTTTGGAGGGCGTATTCCCAGATAAATAGTGGAATATCAGGGTCATAGACACATACTGCCAAATAGGTTTCCAAAGTAGCTATACCAATGTATGCTCCTCCAGTAGTGTCAGACAGTTTAAGCTTCTCCTGTGTTTCCCAGAACTTGGTATTGTCAAGCCATTTTTATTTTAGCTATTCTGATAGAGTGCAGTAGTCTTTCTTTTCCCTCCCTCCCTCCCTCCCTCCCTCCCTCTCTTTATTTCCTTTTTTTTGGAGATAGAGTCAGTGGCACATTCTTAGCTTACTGCATCCTCTGCCTCCTGGGTTCAAGCCATTCTCATGCCTCAGCCTCCCAAGTAGCTGGGACTACAGGCATGGGCCACCATGCCCAGTTAACTTTTGTATTTTGAGAAAAGACAAGGTTTTTCCATGTTGGCCAGGCTGGTCTCAAAACTCCTGGCCTCAAGTGATCTGTCTACCCCAGCCTCCCAAGGAGCTGGAATTAGAGGTGTGAGTCACCTCACCTGGCCAGTATTTATTTTTTTCAGTATGCATCTCTACTAAAAATATAAAATATTAGCCAGGCGTGGTGGCATTCACATGTCCCTGATGACTAAAGAGGTTGAGCACCTTTTCATTATTATTTGAATGTTCTCTTTGTGAAGGAACTATTCAAATCTCTTGCCACATTTATCCATTTGTGTATATTTTATTGATTTGTAGTATATATTCAGGATATGAGTCCTTGGATATTGTATCTTACAGTATCTTCTCCCACTTTTAATGTCTTTTGATAAAAGAAGGTTCTTAATTATTATGTAATCCAGTTTATCAGTATTTTCCTTTATAGCTAGTACATTTTATGTCCTGTTAGAAAATCTTGGCTGGCTGTGGTGGCTCGTGCCTGTAATCCAAGCCTGTGATCGCTTGAGCCAAGGAGTTCCAGACCAGCCTGGGCAAAATGATGAGACCCTGTCCCTACAAAAAAATTAAAGAAATTAGCTGGGTGTGGTGGAGCATACCTGTAGTCTCAGCTACTCAGAGGCCAAGGCAGCAGGGTCTCTTCCTTGAGCCTAGGAAGTCAAGGCAGTGGGGAGCTATGATCACACCACTGCACTGCAGCCTGGGCCACAAAGTGAGACCCTCAACTCTAAAAAATTTTGTAATATAAAAACAAATTTTTAAATCTTTGCCTTCATGTTTGTGAATAGACACTGCACTCCGGCCTCCATCTCGGTAAAAAATAAAAAATCTTTGCTTAAAGTCACCTTTAAGATCTCTTGGCCAGGCGCAGTGGTTCATGCCTGTAATCCCAACACTGGGAGGCTGAGGCAGGTAGATCACAAGGTCAGGAGTTCAAGACAAGCCTGGCCAATATGGTGAAACCCTGTCTCTACTAAAAATACGAAAATGAGCTGAATGTAGTGGCATGCACCTGTAGTCCTAGCTACTCAGGAGACTGAGGCAGGAGAGTTGCTTGAACCTGGGAGGTGGAGGTTGCAGTGAGCCAAGATTGCGGCACTGACTCCAGCCAAGGCAACAGAGTGAGACTCTGTTCTCAGGTAGGTAGGTAGGTAGGTACGTAGATAAAGATAGAAAAGGGAAAAAAAAGCTAAAAACATTGAGCTGGGCATGGTGGCTCATGCCTGTAATCCCAGGACTTTGGGAAGCAGGTGGATCACAAGGTGAGGAGTTTGAGACCATCCTGCCTAACACGGTGAAACCCCATCTCTACTAAAAATAGAAAATATTAGCCAGGCGTGGTGGCATTCACATGTAGTCCCAGCTACTCAAGAGGCTGAGGCAGAAGAATCACTTGAATCCAGGAGGCGGAGGTTGCAGTGAGCTGAGATTGTGCCATTAGATAGAACCTCCAATATAATACTGGGGCTTGTGGTCAGGAATATAAAATGAAATCAATTAGCATGGTTGTTCGTTTTCCTCCAGCAATGCTCTGCTGCTCTAGAGGCAATGAATACATAAATAGTCTATTTTAAGTGGGGTTAGATTTTAGCCCAGTAAGTTTGTCTAAGAAGAACAGGGCTGGGAGTTGCCATAGCATTGGACTCTGTAAGGCTAATTACACAGGTCAATACCCGAGGTGGTGAGCAATGGACTGGAGATCTCAGTGAGTCAAAAAACTGCTGGATAATTGAGCTGAACAGGTTGGCCAGGTCTTCTGAAAAGGTACACCTTGCTAGGAGTAGACAAACACAGGGTGGGGTGGAAAAGGCAGAAGGAAAGAGGCTGTTAGAGGGCAGTATCTGCCACACCCTTGACCTCTGGTCTTCTGATCTGTTGGCCTCCCAATAGCCTCAAAGCCAGGTCTCTGGGTCCTGGGTGGACCCTATAGTTGGAAGCAGGTAAGAGAATGAGGATAGGCCGGGTGTGGTGACTCACACCTGTAATCCCACCAGTTTGGGAGGCCGAGGCAAGCGGATCACTAGAGGTCAGGAGTTTGAGACCAGCCTGGCTGACATGGTGAAACCCAGTCTCTAGTAAAAATATAGAAATTAGCCCAGCATGGTGGTGGGCGCCTGCAATTCCAGCTATTCAGGAGGCTGAGGTGGGAGAATTGCATAAACCTGGGAGGCAGAGGTTTCAGTGAGCCGAACCACGCCACTTCACTGCAGCCTGGGCGACAAGAGTGAGACTCCATCTCAAAAAAAAAAAAAAAAAAAAAAAAAGGATAAACCACATAGGGATCTTCTTAGGAGGCAAGGGCAAGATTTGGAGGTGGAGAGAGGACCTCTCACCAACACTTGGTTTTTGTTTTTTACCGGGAGTGCATTAGGAACTGCCACTGGGGCTGGGGCATAGAGGTGAGTGCAGATGGAGGGAGAGGGGCTCCGCAGAACAGCCACAAAGAGAGGATGACAGTGGGGACACACAGCAGGGAGCAACATGGGGAGCCATCTGCAATCAACCTCACTGCTCAGGATTGAGGAGCTTTGCTCTCCAAAAGGAGTGTTAGCTGAGGCCAGTGCCAGCCCTATTGGTGAGAGGGCAGGGCTTAATTTCCCTCAGCCATAGTCCCTTTATGCCTCTGCACATTTGTTCACACAGTCTCCAAGACCTAGGATGCCCACCTCCCATCCCTCTCTCTCCCTGCCCTTCCTTCACAGATGCAGATCTCCCATTGGTCATTCTAGGCACTGCTCTGGTGTCTTCTGCAAAAAAGGCTTTGAAGGTCTCGAAGATGACTCAGATGCCTCCTCTGGGACTCCAGCCCCCTTCCCCAGCAGCGCCCCTGCCTGTCTCCCTCCATGGCATCAGGTTTTGTGCCCTCTAGTCACTAGATTGTGGACCCCAGAAAGCGCTGTATCAAAACCACTTCTGGGTTGCCAGGCACGGTGGCTCACACCTGTAATCTCAGCACTTTGGGACGCCAAGATGGGCGGGTTGCTTGAGCCCAGGAGTTCAAGACTAGCCTGGCCAAAATGGTGAGATTCTGTCTCTACAAAAAATGCGAAAATTAGCCAAGTGTGGTGACATGCACCTGTAGTCTCAGCTACTCGGGAGGCTGACGTGGAAAATCACCTGAACCTGGGGGAGTTCAAGGCTACAGTGAGCCATGATCACTGCACTCCAGCCTGGGTAAAAGAGTGAGACGCTGTCTCTAAATAAATAAAACCACTTTGGCGGCCTTGCTCCTCCAGCCCCTGCACCGATTGACTCCCATCCAAAGGAGTTCCGCCCTAAGCGCAACAGATCCTTCACCCTTACCCACAAACCCATCGGAACCCCGGCCTTGTATCCGGCGCAGAGCTCTTATCCTGGGAAGGTGCTCAGGTTCGAAGAGGGAGAGGGCACTACTGGAGACTTGCGGCCTGTTCTTGGTAGCCACAAGGGGCGCTCGGGAGGTAGAACCCGCAGGAACCCCGCCTCTCGGAAGCGGAGAAGTCAAGGGGCGAGAGAATTCGCCGACTGATTGGTTGATGGTGATGTCATAGGTACCGTTCGGGGCGGGCCAGAAGCCTTGGCCAGGAGTTCCTCGCCTGTTAGAACCAGGATCCACCCCAACGAAGGAGCCGCACCCTTTGGAGCGTTCTGGGTCTCGCCCCTGACCTCTTCCTGAGTGTCGAGATGCCCGCGTCCTCTGCACCCCGCGCTGCAGTTCGTTATCGATTTCGCCTTTGGAAGCCGGTCCGTATAGTGTACTACCCAGACTATCTCTAACGGTTAGCCGGCAACCCGCGGAGCCCCCTCTGCCGTGAGGGGCGGGGCCTCCTATTGTGCCAATAGAAACAATGACTCTCTGATTGGAGTGCTCCGCGTTCACCCGCTAGCCTCCGCTCCTCTCGTGACGTCTGTTGCGCCAGGTCCACCCATTGGCCTGGCGAGACCGCCGCGTGCCAGGAGTTGCGCAGGGAGAGCTGGAATGCACCGAGGGTGGGGGGAGGACTGAGCTTCTGTGTCAGTCCCTTCAAGGGGTTAAAGGATGCAGTCGTGGCAGACGAGGGGCGGGGATCCGAGGAAGCTGGGCCCGCAGCCATGGGGCAACGCCGGGCTCCACGTGGCATCCCGGAGCAGTCGGGACCCGCAGCCTGGGAGGGGGTGCAGCCTCCAGTGGAAGGGTCCCGAGCTTAGGAGACTGCTGAGAACTGGCAAGGCGGGGAAGAATTTAGCCTTTCCTCCTGCCTTGTGAGGGTCATCTCCAGTCCCTGCTCCTCCAGGGGTGCTCCAAACAAGCAGGTGGTCGCGACATGTTTCATAAAGCTAGCTGATTGGATCGTTAAAGCTATTGTTCGGGCTGCTGGCACCCCAGACCCCTGTCCAGCCATCGTCCCGCCTACCCCAGGATTTCACATGATACCCCCTCCCAGAGCCGTGAGAACGCTCATGGGCACCAAAATTTCAGACCAAAATCCGGGACACGGTTCCGAACTAGTGGTCAGGAAGGAGGACGAGAGATCTGGGAGGGGAAAAAAGGCTGGGAGACTGAGCTGGGACAGCGCCCTAGAAAGAGGGAGGTGGGTGAGGGCGGCGGCCGAAAGCGGGGAGGGCGGACCCAACGGCGGCGCACCTCCGCGCTCTGTTCAGCACCAGGAGCAGCGCTCACGTCCTTAATAAAGATGGCGGCAACAGCTTCGGTCCTCAGAACTGCCATGCGCGATGGGTTGTACCACCGGGTTTGGGGCGCTGGGGCGGAGGTGGAGCAAACCATCGGGACGGCCGGGAGCCATGTTGGAGCGGCGGGAGGCGGCAGCAGCGTCGGGGATGCTGTGGTGGGGGCGGAAAAAGCCGGGGTCGCACGCCGGAGGGGCTCCGGCCGTGGAGTAGATGGTGCCCAGAGGGCGGCGGCGGCGCGGAGAGACAGGCGGAGGGGAGGAGGCCCGGGGCGGTGGCAGGGGCCCGGGAGGGGGCCCGAGCGGCTGGGCCGACCCAAGGCCGGGACCGGGGCGGGGGACGGTGGAGGCCGTGCAGGGAGGCGGGGGATGATGGCGAGGCGGCCGCCGTGTTGGGGTCTCGGGGAACGGTTGACCCCCATATTTCTGCTCCTTCTCCTCTCTTTGTTCCCCCTTAGTCAGGAGGAGCTGGGGGGCGGTGGGCACCAGGGCTGGGACCCGGGGTTAGCTGCCACTACGGGGCCAGGGGCGCAGATCCGTGGCGGAGCCTTAGCTCTTTGTCCCGAGTCTCCCGGGGTCCGGGAGGATGGGGGGCCTGGCGTGGGGGTCAGGGAGCCTGTCTTCGTGGGGCTCCGAGGGAGAAGGCAAAACACCCGGAACAGTCGAGGGTCCCCTGAGCAGCCGAACGAGGAGCTGGGAATTGAACACGGCATCCAGCAACTGGGCAGCCGCAAACGAGAGACAGGACAGGGACCAGGGTCTATGGTATACTGGCGCCCAGAGGTTTCCTCTTGCGGGCGGACAGGATCTTTGCAAAGAGGTAATCTGTCGCCAGGGGCTCTGTCCTCAGGGGTCCCGTGCTCGGGGAACAGCTCGCCCCTCCCTTCAGACTTTTTGGTTCGGCACCATGGTCCCAAGCCGGTGTCCTCCCAGCGAAACTCTGGGACAGGCGCCCGCAAAAGAGTGAGCACCGCGCGCTGCTGTGGTGAATCGTGGGTAACAGGGAGCAAGGGTCAGGACGAGAGAGCCATGACATCCGGAGGAGAAAGGACAGCCCCTCGGCGGAACTGTCTTCCAGGGGCCTCGGGATCTGGCCCCGAGCTGGATTCAGCACCGCGCACGGCGAGGACAGCTCCTACATCAGGTTCAGCACTCCACGAGTCTCGGACAGCTCCCGAGCCGGCGCCTGAGCGCATGCGCTCCCGGGGTCTCTTCCGCCGCCGCTTCCTCCAGCAGCGCCCCGGGCCGCGCCCCCCGGGACTCCTGGCCGGTCCTGAAGCTGGGAAGATAACCTCGGCGAACCCGGCACGCTTCCGTCGCGCCGCAAACCGCCACCCGCAGTTTCCGCAGTACAACTACCAGGCGCTGGTGCCGGAGAACGAGGCCGCAGGCACCGCCGTGCTACGTGTGGTTGCCCAGGACCCGGACGCCGGCGAGGCCGGGCGCCTAGTCTACTCGCTGGCGGCGCTCATGAACAGCCGCTCGCTGGAGCTGTTTAGCATCGACCCGCAGAGCGGCCTCATCCGTACTGCGGCAGCTCTGGACCGCGAGAGCATGGAACGTCACTACCTGCGTGTGACCGCGCAGGACCACGGCTCGCCGCGCCTCTCGGCCACCACGATGGTGGCGGTGACGGTAGCCGACCGCAACGACCACTCGCCGGTTTTTGAGCAAGCGCAGTACCGGGAGACGCTTCGCGAGAATGTGGAGGAGGGCTACCCTATCCTTCAGTTGCGTGCCACGGACGGCGACGCGCCCCCCAACGCCAACCTGCGCTACCGCTTCGTGGGGCCGCCAGCTGCGCGCGCCGCAGCTGCTGCTGCCTTCGAGATTGATCCACGCTCCGGCCTCATCAGCACCAGCGGCCGAGTGGACCGAGAGCACATGGAAAGCTACGAGCTGGTGGTGGAAGCCAGCGACCAGGGCCAGGAGCCCGGGCCGCGCTCGGCTACTGTGCGCGTACACATAACTGTGCTGGACGAAAATGACAACGCTCCCCAATTCAGCGAGAAGCGCTACGTGGCGCAGGTGCGTGAGGATGTGCGCCCTCACACGGTGGTGCTGCGCGTCACGGCCACTGACCGAGACAAGGACGCCAACGGATTGGTGCACTACAATATCATCAGTGGCAATAGCCGTGGCCACTTTGCCATCGACAGCCTCACTGGCGAGATCCAGGTGGTGGCGCCTCTGGACTTCGAGGCAGAGAGAGAGTATGCCTTGCGCATCCGGGCGCAGGATGCTGGCCGGCCACCGCTGTCCAACAACACGGGCCTGGCCAGCATCCAGGTGATGGACATTAATGACCATATTCCTATTTTCGTCAGCACACCCTTCCAAGTCTCTGTCTTGGAAAATGCTCCCTTGGGCCACTCAGTCATTCACATTCAGGCAGTTGATGCAGACCATGGGGAGAATGCCAGATTGGAGTACTCCCTAACTGGTGTGGCACCTGATACTCCCTTCGTGATAAACAGTGCCACTGGCTGGGTCTCTGTGAGCGGTCCCCTGGACCGTGAGTCTGTGGAGCACTACTTCTTTGGTGTGGAGGCTCGAGACCATGGCTCACCCCCACTGTCTGCCTCAGCCAGTGTCACAGTGACTGTGCTGGATGTTAACGACAATCGGCCTGAGTTCACAATGAAGGAGTACCATCTTCGACTGAATGAGGATGCAGCTGTGGGCACCAGTGTGGTCAGCGTGACTGCTGTAGACCGTGATGCCAATAGTGCCATCAGCTACCAGATCACAGGTGGCAACACCCGGAATCGCTTTGCCATCAGCACCCAGGGGGGTGTGGGACTAGTGACACTGGCTCTGCCACTAGACTACAAGCAGGAACGCTACTTCAAGCTCGTACTAACTGCATCTGACCGTGCCCTTCATGATCATTGCTATGTGCACATCAACATCACAGATGCCAACACTCATCGGCCAGTCTTTCAAAGTGCCCACTACTCAGTGAGCGTGAATGAAGATCGGTCAGTGGGTAGCACCATAGTGGTCATCAGTGCCTCTGATGATGACGTGGGTGAGAACGCCCGTATCACCTATCTCCTAGAAGACAACCTGCCCCAGTTCCGCATTGATGCAGACTCAGGAGCCATTACACTACAGGCCCCATTAGACTATGAGGACCAGGTAACCTACACCCTAGCTATCACAGCTCGGGACAATGGCATCCCACAGAAGGCAGACACTACTTATGTGGAGGTGATGGTCAATGACGTGAATGACAATGCTCCACAATTTGTGGCCTCCCACTACACAGGGTTGGTCTCTGAGGATGCCCCACCTTTCACCAGTGTCCTGCAGATCTCAGCCACTGACCGGGATGCTCATGCCAATGGCCGGGTCCAGTACACTTTCCAGAATGGGGAAGATGGGGATGGAGATTTTACCATTGAGCCCACCTCTGGCATTGTCCGTACAGTGAGGCGGCTGGACCGGGAGGCAGTGCCAGTGTATGAGTTGACTGCCTACGCAGTGGACCGAGGTGTGCCCCCACTCCGGACTCCAGTCAGCATCCAGGTAACGGTGCAGGATGTGAACGACAATGCTCCTGTCTTCCCAGCTGAGGAGTTTGAGGTGCGGGTGAAAGAGAACAGCATTGTGGGCTCAGTGGTGGCACAGATCACCGCAGTGGACCCCGATGAAGGCCCCAATGCCCATATAATGTACCAGATTGTGGAGGGGAACATCCCTGAGCTGTTCCAAATGGACATCTTCTCTGGAGAACTGACAGCACTCATTGACTTAGACTATGAGGCTCGCCAGGAATATGTGATTGTGGTACAGGCCACATCTGCTCCTCTGGTCAGCCGGGCCACTGTGCACGTCCGCCTGGTTGACCAGAATGACAACAGCCCTGTGCTCAACAACTTCCAGATCCTCTTCAACAACTATGTATCCAACCACTCAGACACCTTCCCATCGGGCATTATTGGGCGCATCCCAGCTTATGACCCTGATGTCTCCGACCACCTCTTCTACTCCTTTGAGCGAGGCAATGAGCTGCAACTGCTGGTGGTCAACCAGACCAGTGGGGAGCTGAGACTCAGCCGAAAGCTAGACAATAACCGCCCATTGGTGGCCTCCATGTTGGTGACTGTCACAGGTGAGGGGCATGGGGCAGGCAAGTGACCCAGTGATCCCAACCTGTTTGGCCTCAGGAACTCCATGGAGCACCTCAAGCCAAAGAGGGATTTCCAAACCTTCCAAGAACCCCTTAAATGAAGGGTTCCTGCACCCTACACTTACATGAGATCTGCCATAGACCTCATGAGGACTCTGCTTAGGTTCCTGGATAATCTCCACAGAATTCCAAAGATTCCAAGGCATCTAGCAGACCCCACAAAGCCTGTAAAGAACTGTCTGCTACCTAGGGATAGCTCCCCTGCTGACAAAAGGTCAGGGGTCCTGGGGTAATCCTCTGGAGGTCCCAGGCAAAGACATTATGGGCCAGTAAGTCCACATTAGGCCCATGGTTAGACGAAGGATTTCTTTGGGTCCAGTCTGACGCTTACCCCATCTGTGCAGGAAATGACCAATAATTTAGTGGTCAGGAACAGCAGCTTACTATGGAAGCATCAGGGGGAGAGTGGGTCCATAGGGGCTGAGACCCTGACCTTTGGGAAAATGTCCAGAGGTCCACCTGCCTCTTTCCTGCCGCATCTGCTGCAGTCTTTCACAAACCCCTCCCTAATAGGAGAGTG